AAGCGGAGGGATGGATTTCTTTGGAAAACTATGTCCACAGATTACCTTTTTCCACCTGGTGTCTTGCTCGTCAACCACCAGACATTCATCAGTCAAATAAACTGAACGCCAGAAGGACAGGCGATGCGATTTGAATTCGTTGGCAAAATAAATACGTGCCTTCCTTTGTTTGGCGTTCAGTGGTGGCTTCACATCAACTGATCTCAGCTGTAGATCGAATTTAGCCATCGTTTTCCTAACGATGGCATANCCCGTACTATACTGGATATTGGCTTCCTACAACTTCTTTTGAGCTGCAACTTTATGTAGTCGTTTTCCTGCTTCGATGTGGTCGGTTTTCTTTCTCCACATGGACGTCTCAATGGAGAAATTCCGTGAGGTATACGGAAAATCGTGCTTCTATTCATACTGAAGCATTTGCACAGATCAGCAACTGAAACGCCGGATTCATACGCTGTTTTTATGCATTCCCTTTCTTCACTTGTGTATCGGAAACTCTTGAATTTATCATCCGGTTCGGACATGGTGACAACATATAACAATGAATATTCGACGTGCCGCACACCTCAAGGTCATTGCTTGAAGGTTAAATATCACGTTACATGCAATATTTTTTTTGACTTCCTTCTTGATGCGAGATTTTGCGGTTGCAGCTTGTAGCCACATACCTTTTCGAATAATTTATGATGATATATCATAATTTACCAGTATAATTACTTTGCATTGTATAGAAAAAGATATGCTATTTAAAGTACCCGGATGGAGCAGAACAAACATCCTCATGGAACAATACTCATTGGTTAGAAAGAATAGACGTCCGTGCTTCTCTGCACCAAATGGTTTCTAATTTTAAACAGTAGCTTTCGAACTACTGCAATTTTTATCGGGACAACCAAGGTCGCGCTAATTCAAATCGCGAAACAGGAGAGCTGAGAACACTACAATAGAAAGTGGAATTCGAAATAGATGTTGTATACCAGTAGCTATCGATGTGTGGGTATGATATTTGAAGCTGAAAAATATTTCTCTTTTCAGAGTCATGTTGCACGAGTTCAATCAATACCTATGTATATACATTTCATTTTCACCGGATGTTACCTAACGTTCCAGGTTACAGGACAGGCCTTCGAGGACGTGCAAGAACAGAATGTTCGGCTTGTTCGCACTCTTCAAGAAAATGAAGAAGCCAAACTGAAGCTAATGACTGAACGCTTGAATACCAATCAAGTAGCACGTTTACTGAAGGAGGACAAACAGCTTTTGGAGGAGCAAATCCGTTTGCTCAAAGCCCGATATGAGGCTCTTAATCGAGCTTTCTCGAAACAAGAGGATAAGGTGAGTTGTTTACTGCTTTTTTCGTTCACTGAGCGTGAATGTACATTAAATGTTAGGTCATTATGTTTCTTCTTACGATATACTTCGGTTAAAACACCCCCATATACGATGAAGACTTAAACAGTGTATGCGTTGTGAGCCATGACAGTCGAATCTACTACTACATATTGCTTCAGTGAATTTGTGTAACTCTTCATTTGATGATTTTGTGTCGGCCGACGAAACGCTATCAATGAGCTGTCGTTAACACCGAGAAGTGGCTCAACCTGATTACCATAAGACCCGATCCGTTGTTACCGGAGGGTTTTGTTATTTTTAGACAACTGTGCCTGCATCTGATCACAACTATGATTCTGATACCCCCGTTTTATTTAAAGTGGAAAGAGGTTATTGGGTTCGACTGCTGTGTTGAGGTCATCTGGATTTGTTTGCGGTTCCGCTCACCAAGTCGGGTTTCAGTGTGTATCCTGTCAAGATTCTTTATCTCAGTTGTGATCAGCGCTAATAATTGTTTGATTAATACACGATGAGGAGTGTTACATCTGCGTTCTTTAGTTCTTTTGCGGGACGTCAGAGCGAGGGAAGAAAATCTGATGAGGCTGATGTTCATTGGAAAATAAAGTAGTCATGTGTCGTGAACAGGGGCAGACAACAATCTTGTCTCCTTTTCATTTGTACTTTTTCATCTTTTTCTCCCGTTGGCTTCACTGTGTAACGACTATCGTTATCTACGCTTGTGCATGCCAAGTTGTTTAAAATAATAATTGATGCATATGTTCTTTTTCACTTTGAAGTGTTCTGTATTCTTTGCACACAGGAGCACCTGTTGCTTGCCAATTTGGATACGTTGGAAAAAGAAGCCAGCGCCAGACAACAAGCGCAAGAGGCGTATAAAAGGAAAGCTATTGAAAGTCAGCAAGCCGCCGAAGACCTTCGAGTTACAGTGCAAAAGTATCAGAGTCAACTGAAGGAAGCTCAAGTTTCTGTACAAGAAAAAGCGTCCGCTTTTGAACGCGTGTCATTCCGTCATCAACGACTTCAGGTAAGCTGTTTCCCAATTTCCATTGTCTTCAACAAAAGTGATTGAGAAGAATGCTATTTTCCTGAATTGTTTATTTCAAATCTACTTATCATTGCAGCCGTGTTTTTGAGTATACTATTAAACTTAAGGCGGTCCTTTTGGCATTTCTCGTAATTGACCACTGAACATCATTGGAATGTTACTTCTGAAAAACAGTATTGTTTCATTTAACTTGGTGCAATTCTTTTCATTTTGGATGCCTCTTATTTGATTCACAGGAGGAGTTGGTCACCCTTCGGAGAAAATACGAAAGGCTCCGTAAAATCGAGCAATCACACAACGCGGATGAAGTACTCCTAGCTGAAATTCAGGATTACAAGGTATTCATGTTTACATGACCAGTGTTTGCATTCCTATCAGGTTCTTCACCTACTCATCACTCCTTGGGAATAAAATTGTCTTGGTAAAACAAATGAAAATGACAGATTACTAGAAACGACTCATGTGTATGATGTATATTGAGACGTAGTGGCATGAATACGAATCTCTGAAAAAGAGCTTGTTCGATACTTATTTTGTTTGAAATCACAGATTACTATAAACGATTTCATCATGAGACCGAAAAATCGGGTTCACTACGATCACATATTTGTTTATCCACTCATCCGATCATCTATGTAACTCGTGATACGGCGTGTGTGGAGTGGGGAAGTTTCAGCGCTGGCACTAATTGTTTTTGGGCACACAGAGGGCTTTGTGCAGACGAATACCCACCGCTTCTGCTGTAGCCAGCATCCGACAGCAAACTTACTTCGATAATCACGCATAAACTTCATACAGGTGGCGGAAAGCCTCGGCCACGTTCACAGTGTGAAACCACTGCACCGGTGAAACACTTAATCGTTCCGGTTTTCAGCCACGCCGGATATTGTTCACAAATCCGTTCGGAAAATCGCCTGACCGGACGGTCTATGTACGTTGTTCGATAGGAACAAATGTACACAGAATGAGACCGCAGCGTATGGGACTTTGTCCTTCAGTCGTTAACACCATTGGCTTGGACGTGAACAACACACTAAGCTTGGATGCGTAGGGAGCCTTGTAGATTGCTTCGGATAATCTTCTTTGTATGATTTCAGCTCGTGTTTCCCCTTTGAACGGCAAAGAAATGTATACGGATTTTTTTTCTTAACCTCCGTGATTTGTTAAGTTTTCCGTGCACTGTACCATTTTGTTGACCAAACGCTCGGGATACCCGAAGACGGGTTTCATAGTACGTAGCTCTTCTAACGTGTCCTCAATGCAGATCTTTCTTGTCCTGTCCGCTAGGCAACAAATCAGGTTCATTTTACCTTCAGTGGTACAAAATTACGGAAAAAAATGTGTTGGTCTTTCCGAATTACCCTTCTATGCACGGAACGCTACACCGAACCGTCTAATAGACAGTTGATGCAGATATCTAGCAACGGCAATTTGTTGTTACACTCCATTTATGAAGTAAATGTTATGTTGGGATGCGCAGTGTTAAACTTGTTTAATAGTTTCGTTGTGTTCGATTTTTCGTTGATCGCACAATGAAGCTCGTCGACTTACCGCGTGTATAGTCCACAGTGTTTGATAGATGACTGTAATTAAGTGTTCAAGTTTCGTCACGAACAAGTCCGCGAAAAGTGAACCCACGATCACACCATCCTTTTGTCGATAGATCGTAAACTTGAACTGAATATTATACGTGCAGAAATAAACCAATTGTTTGAGGTCATCCAAAGGGAGGCCGAGCTCTACATTATAGGTTTGAACATAACTGCACAGGTATTCTATTGTTTCGCTGATGAGAACACTTTTGAACAATGAGCTGACGTCCAGCGAGAGCGTTGTTCGATCGACCAATATTATCTCACGAATTTTGCTCACAAAAGTAAAAGTATCTTTGACACTGTGCTTATCGAAAAATTTGGCCAACCACTTTGCCAGAGTATGATGATATGGCGAATTGCACTTATCGAAAATCGGTCTTAATAGTACTCCATCTTTGTGTACTTTTGGCAGTCCATACACCTCGGAATAACAGTTTCGGTCGGCCTACTACTTTCGAAATTGGACGCATCAGTATCTCCCCTCTGTTCTAAGCATGATGAAATCTCAGAAAGCACCCCTTCTATTTTGGGCCGTCTTATCCTTTTTGTTCGATTCGGTGAATTTTGACAGATCACTCATTCATCTTGTTTATGTAGTCTATTCGATTTAGTAGCACGATCCGCGTCCCTTTATCCGGTCTGGATAGTATAACATCTGAAGTTCTGAATTTCTCGTAATCGTCTGATGTGTTCTGTAATCAATATTTCATTTGTATTTAGCTCAACATTCTGATGTTGGTAACAAGCATTCACTAGGGTAGATTTAAGTTTTTCCAACTCCAGTGATGAAGAGGAAACCAAATCAGGAACACGTGCATGTTTTCAAATTCCAACTCCATATCCGATTGATTTGATCTTCGATTCGGACAACAAAAATTTGGTTCCAAAGATAACACTTTTAACAGCATTTTGTCAAAATTTATGCTTGATAAATTGTGAACGTATTTTTCGGGCTTGGTAGGGAACTCACCCCGGTGGCTTGGTATGATTAAGCCGCAGACGCAACGTGGTTCGGCTTCGTTCAACCTGTTTGGAAGCAATAGACGGCGTAATCCTCAAAAGATTGTCTTTCAGTCGGAGAAAGAGAGTATTTAACACACGCTTAGGTGTTATACATTTTTTATCTCCTTCAAACCTAGTCACCGCAAATTAATTATGTTAATTCATGTTTCATCATCAACTACCTCGTCCACTTTCTCTCTCTCAACAGGAACAATTAACCTGTCCAACATGTAAAACAAATCGGAAAGATGCCATCCTCACGAAGTGTTTCCATGTGTTCTGTCTCAATTGCCTCAAGACTCGCTACGAAACACGAAATCGTAAATGTCCCAAATGTAATGCTACCTTTGGTGCGAATGATTACCATCGTATATACTTATCTTGACTTACCCCGTGCATTGGTGTGACATATCCGGTTACTTATCTATTTTCTGGCCCAGTTCTCATACTTGTCGAATTTTATTCCCCTGTAAAATATATCCTCTCAATCTTATCACCTGCCTCCTTTATTCCTTCCGCGGTGCCGTAGTACTTCATCGGGACAATTCAATCGTCATCTTTTTAGTCCGGGATCTGACATCATTTAGCTCCATTCTATCGCTTTTTGATCATCAAGCCCCAATGGAATCCCTTGGGTCACAGCATTCATTGCGTCTCATCGGTTCCATTTATGGTCCTTCTTTGAGGTGAATGCATAGTTCTTTGTCCAGGAATCTTTGCTCCAAGTCCCATTGTTATAATACCCTCACTGCTGACAGGTCATTCTGTTTTTACCATGTTAATTGTGCATTAGGTGCGGTCTGTCTAATCGATAGAGTGAAGCACTATCTAGTCGGCTGTAACGAAAGCCAACGATCGACTGAAAAACTAAACGTTTACTCCAACATCCATCTCATATTAGTTTTAATGTGGAGCGCGTTTCATGTTTTAGATTATAAGGCCTTTTGTAAGCTGTTGATTTGCTGACATGACCAGGGTCCGACGTCATGCAATGGCAGATATGAAACGGTATTCGAAAAATAAATCTTTCGTCACTACTACTGTTGCCCCCATCCTCCCTCCCGTGTTGCTTTCATGGTCGGCGTTCACTTACAAAAGGACTGCTTTCGACTGTGATAGGGTTCTACACGTGACAGTATTAGACCGATTCACCTGATGGGGGTCATACTTTGACTCAGAGACACTTGTCTTCTCTATAGAGTTCGCCGGTTTTCTGTTCACAACTAATTTGCTTTTGATCGGATGCATTTCATTTTCCACTCGAATAATAATCCGCTGCTCTCTGTTACCAACCGTCGTTGAAATTGTTGCCACGTTGAATATCGTTTTTTTAAAGCAATTTAAATTTACTTATGGTCACGTTATACACCTGCTAATCATGAGGATCACCTGCCCGTAATGCTGTGACTTCCGGAGGGAACCCACTTTAATTAACCTTGTTTGTTTCGAACTCTAATGATGACATATTTTGGTGATCAGAACAGGTGTCATTTGGCCACCAGTGGCGTTAAAATGCACAACCGGTCTCGAATAAATATATTGGTCCATTTTAAAAGAAGCTCTGCAACTCGTGTCTCGGACATAAGCAACTGCCACAAGGCTCAAACGAGGACTTCGATTCTATCGCCCCGATAAGTTGTACAATCAACTGTTCGAAGCAGTCGACTGTAGGTCCAATGAATGCTGATTAGGTTAGTCGTGTTTTTGCCAAATGTAGATTCCCAAATGTAATGTCTAATTTAAACCCGGAAACTGCTCGTGAGCCGGTTGGCAAAAAGGGTTCATGAAGAGTTTTGGCCTCACTTGAAACATGCTATGAGGCACTTGGCAATATTGTTCTTGTTGTCGGTCATTATGAGCCAACGAACAAAAGCGCTGAAGCATGTTCGCGTCGACGACATTCAGTCACACTAAGTTCAACGTGTCACGCTGTAATCCGTCTGGCCGTGGAGTAATCATCATCCGACGGAATGTGGCAAGTTGGACGCAACTGATCGATACGCAGATAGCTCTATAGGTAACGGGTGTGTGCAAACTTTACGCAGGCATTAACATATCCGTCAATGTTCACAAGAACAGGTAAGGCAGTGGGATGGAACAGGGAGTCCGCGAGCGCTTGGAAGTTGGTCAGTGGTAGACCAGTCTACACGCCTTTCAGATGCTCCCAGACTACCCTTGCACGGCGCACTTGTCCGTGAGCGTCATCGCGGTCGACTTCAAAGGTAGACCATGGAGTCAGGTTTGGGGTTGCAGCGACGACTGGTGCCCCTATGAGCTCCGTACGTCAAGTGTGGGTGGTTTGGAATCAAGGTTTTGGTCAACTCCCATAGACTGACCAGTAATGGTTGGTCAAACTGATGAAAAGCGCCAACATTTGTCTTCCCCCTTCCATTTTATTTTTAACACCTTTGCCACGAGAAGACGGTAAGCAGGACTCTCGGTAGAAGCTATTTAATTCGCATGATTGCTTGGAGTATTTCTAGAGGAGTTCGATACGATGGACCATTTCTGAGCCCGAGACACCTACTCCGGAGCGAACCGAAGCAATGGAATTTGGGAGACACGATCGATTAGTTGAGTTTATCGTCAGTAACCAAAAATCAACCTACCGTGGAAAATAAATCTTAGGACAGCAGCAAAACAGAACAAACTGCTGTACGAAAGTTCACTCCACTGACGCAATCTTCCTATTCGGAAGGAAAGCACTCCTGGGTGTAAGTACACGCCTGGGTATCTAGAAATCAAGATAAATTACGCTCAAGGATAAAAATCAAGTGCTTCGCATGACTGACTCCGCTTATTGGATTCAGTTTATTTTGTATATTCTGCAACGGGGGCGGGGGACCGTCCAGAGTATCGAAATTTTCGAGATGTTAATCAGAGTCAGAACAAAGATCAAATAAACTCGAGTGTGCAACCAGATGAAGTAGGCTATTTTCAATAGCAATATCGCCAGCGTGCTTGTAATGACGAATGAGGAAAGTAACAAATAAATCACTGAAACAAGTTGTAAAAACAGGTGATATGACAGTACACTGTATCAAACCCGAGTAGCAGCTGACTGATACCGATCTCAAAACCAAGAGGTAAAAGTTGGTTAAGGACCTTATTTCTTCAATCTATTATTTTACTCAACACGACACTAAATCGCACAGGTTAGGAGAAACCTGAAAAATGAGATGTGGACGTACCATGTGGCAGCCAGCTAGGTGTAACTCGCTTCACCCGTGGCACTATGCGAACATTGGGGAAGACGATTTCGTCTGTGGATCAATAAAAATGACCTTTCGCATTTGAAAGACCGCTACTTCAGGTATGGCGGTATTCATTCATTTTGAGACCATTGCACGTGTTGTTACAATTATGGACTTGGGTACTACAGTCCGTAATAGGGAGATCTCCGGAAATTGAACAAATCCCCTCATGCTATTGCCGTTTTGATTCGTTCAGTGGGATGAACAACCTAAACGTAACCTAGTATGGTGAGTGGTTGTCCACCGGAAGCCGCTACTCTGGTGACAACCGGATCGTATCTATAAAGACGCTTTCATTTATCTCTGCCTCACTTTTAAGCCATCCAAATCCACGCCCAAGCTCGCGACTCTATTTTTCTCAGTCAAAATTGAAAAAAATGGGATTACGTAATCGTGCGAACATTCAGTCATCAAATGCTCTACCTACACGCATTTGGCCGCACAGAACATTGTATTCAATGTTTAACAAGTGGGCAAATTGAAGTTTTGAAAATTTTTGTTTGTTTCAGCTTTCACCGTTCAGGGAATCTTTATGCAACACACCCTCAAATTTGTATTTCCTAAAGCCACTTTAGAGAAAGGTATGCTGCGCGTTTCGGAACGTGGCACCGGATTGGGTATTCCGCACATCGTTAGTAAGTTAGCCTATTAAGTTTTACCGATAGAGAAGGTTAACGACCTTCAAAAACGAGACTGTGCAATCAGTATTGCTTTCAATTCACTAGCTGGTCGTTAAGACGAGTTCTGAATGCACCCCAAGGTTATAATCTATTTATAACTTCAGTATATCGCCTAAATTTAAAATTCTGCTGCGTGGCATTGAATTTCGCAGTTTTTACCATAGTTTGTGAAATCGATCGCGCCTTGCATGGACAAACTTCACTTCTGTTAAGTTTTATTAGTTTTATTATTATTGTTGGTTCTGTTGCTCAAAGCCGTTAAAATTTGATGACATTTATTAGTTGTTTCTATGATGCCTTTGTTGTTCACTGAATGAGAAATTTTCTATCCGAGACATCTAATTGTGCCCAAATATTCGTTCTAAGATATTTTCACTTACGATGTGCATTTCTTTTACAATGGCATCATTTGTACGGCCTTTGTGATTTCGGTATTCCTCGGCAATTAACGTGTTTCAAAAGTCAAGACTTGGTATCATTGTATTGTGAACATCGGGGCAGACCGAAATCTCTCTCGCTCTCTAGTTGAGTACCTCGGAAGACAGAAGAACATACAATATCTGAACAAGACATTTTTAACACTCAATAGACTGGGCTTGCTGCCCTCGAAGAGAAGAAACCTTGGGTCCCAATCAGAACACCTGCGTGAACGTTTTGTCGGTGCTGATGTCATATGAGCGATGAATGAGTCTCTCCGGATTCGTTAGGATTTCCATCCGGAACATCAACAGTTTCATGCGATTTATCGGAATGATTTTTCCTTCTGTTCCACCTATTGGAATAAAACTGTTTCTCGGTTCATTTTTGGTCGTTCACTTCATTTCCTTTTATTGAATAGACAAGGATACAATTTTCAGGAAACGGAAGCGGGTAATCAAATAGCTGCTATAAAACGCACACTGGGGAAGGTCATTATTTGTCTCTCAAAGGGCTATCACTGGAACGCGAAAAACAGTGTTGAAACCATAATCTGCTTTCACAAAATACTTTTTGAGGACCAGTTCAATAGTCATTAAACTGGAAAAATGACACACGCGTCTATATGTTTGAGGAATAGGAGAATATAACAGAAATAATAAGTTTTGGATAGAACAAGAAGCTTGAGTTTAACGGTGTCGATGTGACCCAACAATTACATGCGCTCTGTTTTAGTTGTTCACGCACACTTTTTCATCCGACATTTTTACTTTATTTAATCGATTAGACCAATAAACTTTCAGAATTCATGAAGGGTTGTGTAATAATCAAAATCAAATAGCACGTTCTCGGACTGGAAACCCACTGATTAGCGTAAAAGCTGGTAGAACTAAAACGAGAAGTGGATGCATTTACATGGGATGGAAATGTTAGTGATAACCGACAAAGAGCGCTGGACAGCTGCTTGGGACTCGTCAACGGTGCGTACTTTTTGTGTCCCTGTCAGGACTCGAACGGCGAACTTTCGCGTTTGG